TGCTCGTTGCCACGAGCGCTTGAAGTGCAATCTGCATGCGGCGAAGGATTTGAACCCAGGTCGCATTTCAACAGTGCGTTGGAGTGCCAACTGAGCTGGGCACATCGCCGTTTCATACGGGGATTTGTTTTCTTCGGTTAGCGCCTTCGGGATTTTCCGTTCTGGTGGGCGCTGCCCAGCAAGGAATAGACGGAGCAGGGTCGAGTTGCCTGCAAACGGGCGTGTGCGGAAGTGCAGTCTCTCCCCCTCTCTCCCCCTTTCTCCCTGTCTGTGCCTTCGGTGTTCTGCCTGAAGATGTGAAGAGTTCCATTCACACTCGTCCCCCCCCAAAAAAAATAGGTGAGTCCGCACGGCCTGGCGAAGTGCACCCTCTCCCCTTCCGTCCCTCCCTCTCCCTCTCTCTCTCTCTCTCTCTCCCTCCCTCCCTCCCTCCGTCCTCTCTCTCAGCCATGTTTTGCCTGAGCCGTGTTGTGCATGAACGGTGGAGAGTTCCGTTCACACTTAGTGCACGAAGTGCATCTTCTCTCTCTCTCTCTCTCTCTCTCTCTCTCTCTCTCTCTCCCCCTCTCCCCACCCTCGGCCCCTTTCTCTCCCTACATCCCTCCTTCTTCCCCCGTCCCTCCACCCGTCCATTCCGCAACTTCATTTTTCTCTGGGGCTGCCGTGTTGTAAGTGGCACATTTTTTGGGGGAGGCCGTTGGACACGATTTGTGCACGGCCGCTATCGGAAGAAGTAGGCGGGAATCATGCGTTGAATGCGGAGAGGCAAGGCGAGAGGGAACACGAAGGGGGTAAGTGCCTGGTCAGGCAGACAGGAGAATGTCGCTGTGGATATTGAGGGAGGGTCGTCGAGGGTGACCCTACATAAATCGAGAGGAGGAGAAGGTCGGTATGCCGGCCAATCGGGGTGAACGTGTGGGAGCTCATGAACCCCGGGGGAAAGAACGCCAAGGCAAAGGGTAAGGAATGCAGGTCGTGGAATGGGATCCGGACAAGCTGGGGAGGAAGTGATTGCACAGCAGCGCGGAGGGTGGGGAACAGGTTGAATGGAAAAGAGAGCAGTATAATGCCGAAGAGCCTGAATCACAAGAGGGATAGGGTGAATGTGGATATGCAGGTGATGGAGAGAGAGCAACGAAGAGAGAAAGAGCGACAGACCGAGGAAGAGAGGAAAGGACATACCAGATCCGCAGGGGTTGGGAGGAGCAAGAGCTCGAAGAGGATTCCGACGGAGGCGAGAAAGGCGTGGGAGAAGGACGGGAATAGAGACGATTGAGAAAAGCGGATGGGTGGGGGGAAGATTGGGATGGGGGATGGAGGGCACAAGTTGAGAGATGAGAGAGAGAGAGAGAGATGCGTGTGTGTGTGTGTGTGTGTGTGTGTGAGAGAGAGAGAGAGAGA